GTCTAGGAGACAATGCTGAGAGAATATTTTGCTATTGTAACGACCCGGCCGGTCGTTTTGAGGATTTAAGATTTGTTTGGCGGCGTAAGGTCTTGAAAAACTTCATAATATGAGTATCGACTTGTGTGCATGGTTGAATTCAGTTAACGGATGATTCAAAGTCGAATTGGGAGAAGAAATCTAGTTTTGAAAGCTTAAGCGGTGAGAATTTGACCGGAATTGAGCTTTAGAGTAAACGGCTCCGGAATGGGTTTTGGATGATCTTAACTGCTTCGTATGGTGATTTTGGACTTAGGCGCGCACCCGGATTTGAATTTGGAGGTCCGTAGAGTAATTTGAGGCAAACGACGAAAGTTGGGAAAGTTGAAGTTTGGAAAACGGAGAAGTTTGAACCATAGTTGACTTTTGTGCTATCGGGGTGGGAATGCAATTTCGAGAGTTGTAACAACTCCGTCTTGTCATTTGGGACTTGTCTGCAAAATTTGGCGCCATTCCGGGTTGGTTTGATTGGTTTGGCACGAGTTTTCAAAGTTGGAAGATTTGGAAGTTCATAGTTCGATTCATGGCGCGATTTGTATTTTCGGTGTTGTTTGCTATGATTTGAGACCTCGAGCGAGTCCGTTTTAGGTTATAGAACTTGTTGGTGTGTTTAGATGGGGTCCCGAGGGCCTCGGGTGTGATTCGGACGAGGTTCAGATGTTTTGCATAGTTTTAAATAGGTCTAGTTCTGGTGTTTCCGCACCTGCTACCTTGGAGCGTGGTGCGGCTCCGCTTCTGCGTGAGCCCGGCCGCTTCTGCGATCATGAAGGCTTGGGAGCTTGCACGCTTCTGCGGAGGCTGGTACGCAGGTGCGGTGGTCGCTTCTGCGGTCCTACGATCGCACCTGCGGAGAATTTACGCTCCTGCGATTTCCCTTTCGCTTCTGCGGTGCCGTTGGTGCGGCTTTATATCCGCAGATGTAGTCCCAGGCCAATTAGCCAAGGTCGCAGATGCGGTCTCTTTCTCGCAAATGCGGTCACGTAGATGCAGTTTCTTGACCGCAGATGCGGAAGTCCTGGCAGAATCATATAAGTCGAGGGTTTGGCCATTTCTTCATATTTTTGAGTTTTAAACTTCGGATTTGGGAGCTTCTTTTGTGATTTTTCAAGAAAATCGATTGGATAAGTGTTCTTCACCTAGAATCTAACATATTCTATGATTTAATCTTTATTTTTATCTTTTAATTTGTGTTTTGGGTTGAGGAAAATGTTGGTTTTTGAAGAAAATTCCTAAAATGATAAATCATGATTTGAGGGACCAAATGGTATCGGAAGTTGATAAATTTTTTATGGTTGAATTCATATTGGAAAGAGTATTCGGATTTTGTAAAATTTGTCGGGTTCCGAGGTGCGAGCCTGGGGGTCGACTTTTGGACCGATTTTTGGATTTTGTTAAAGATTGAGACTTTATGATCCGAAATAGTTTCTTATGTGTTTTATTTGTGCCTTGAAGTTATTTTGGTTGGATTTGAGCTGTCCGGAGGTCTTTTCACCCGAGAAGTGCATTTTAGAGTATCGGTCTGTCGTCTTTGAGGTAAGTATCTTGCCTAACCTTGTGTGGTGGACTTCCCCTTAGGATTTGAGTCTTCTGTGTTGATTATAGTTCGTGTACGCGAGGTGACGAGTGCGTACTCGGACTTATTTGTGGGGAATTGACCTTTTAGAGTTCTTAGGTCCTTATATCCACTATGTATGGAGTTATTCTTGATATGACTGAGTTCCTGCTTATTAGTTTCGCCTCTACATGCTTAATTGGAATTAATTGCTTCATGATTCACTCTTATTGCCTAATTGTCATCCTATTTGATTCAACTGAAGAATTTCGCCTCTCCTATTGTCATGCTATCTTTTCATAACTGCCTGTGTTATTTGAGATCTATTATCATCCCTCATATAATTGTCTAGTCTTAAGTGAAGCTAAAATCACATTTCCTTAATTGAATTGTCGAATATCATCGTAACTTTCCAACCTTAAAAGGAGTTTAGGTAACCTATATCTTTGTTGACTTGCCTTTATTTGGGACTACCGGACTAGTGTCGATTTCCTTGTTATTGACTTGTATATTGTGGGATCATTACTACATGTTAGTTTTCCCTTTGTTGAATTGTTCCCTTTATGCCTTTCATTTCCTTAATGTGGTTATTCCTTGTGAAGTGGTTCTACCGTTTCCTTGTGATTTAAAGTTCTGGAGTGGATTCACTCGCCGCACTTTGTACTACTGTCATTGTTGTTGTTGTATTGGTTGTGTTGGTGCACGAGGTTTCTGCCGTGCGGTTGTTGTTATAGGGTTGCACGAGGTCTCTGCCGTGCGGTTGTTGTTATGGGGTTGCACGAGGTTTCTGCCGTGCTATTGTTACTGTTGACATATTGCACATGCGGCGTGACAAGGTGGGATATATATATGCTTATATGTGGGTTGCGCATGTGGCGAGACAAGGTGGGAACATTATGATGCACGTGTGGCGAACCAAGGCGGGCGCTTATTATGTTATTATTGCACACGTGGCGAGACAAGGTGGGCTATGTCAGGGATTGATTGTGATGCTTTGTGATGGCCCGGGGGCATTCTTGTTGTTGACATTGTGTTATGGTACGTTTACCTGTATGAGCTTTACCTCGTGAAAGTTGTGAGAAAATGCCTTACGTGTTGTCCGTTCTTTTCCTTACGTTTTTAGCAGGTATGATCTATGTTAGAACACTTGCACAAGTATACACGTAGCTAAACAAGTATACACGTAGCTAAATACTCCTATTGGTTAAGAAGTTTACCCCTGGTAGTGTTAAGTATAGATGTACATCCTCGTTTGCTTGTCATATATGTGAGAGTGACATGAGGTGTGGTGAGGGCACATGATGCCAAGTGTTAGGGTTCAGGTATTGAGACCAATGAGCCGTAATTTTGTTCAAGGTTCGGTACTTCGAGGAGTTGTTGGCTAAGATCTGATGTGAAAAACTATCGCAGTTTCTGAGTTATTAGTTGCCTTTACTGTATTGTGATTTGGGATTTGGGTTTGTGTTTCCGCTAGCTCTTTTATGTAATTATTACGGTGTTTCCGTTGTCACTTGCTGTTTTCTCCCATATTGTGATTGTTGTATTGTTAGCCATATCGTGTAGCCTTTATATATACATCATGTTCTGTTGTTCCTATGCTTTTATTTGTACAGTTTATTGGACTAGTTGGTGTCTTGACTGTTCCTTGTCACTACTCTACCGAGGTTAGTCTTGATACTTACTGGGCACCGCTGTGGCGTGCTCATGCTACTCTTCTGCACATTTTTTTTGTGCAGATCCAGGTATTGATCGTTAGTAGCTGTGAGGATCGTTGTTGAGGAGACTCAAGGTAAACCTGCTACTGCGTTCGCAGGTTTCGGAGTCACCTTCTTACTTGCATTCAACTGTTTTTACTCATTTCCAAACAGTTGTATTTAGAAGTGGTAGTTATCTCTATAGAGCTTATGACTTGTATTACCGAGTTTTGGGAATATGTTTATTGTATAAAGAATTCATTTTAGAAGAATTTTAGATGTTATTTATTATTGTTGTTATTCCGTGAATATTAGGCTTACCTAGTCCTTAACACTAGGTGCCATCACGAAACCCAACGGAGAGGAAATTGAGTCGTGACCGTTATTAAGAACAAAAATTCAATTGTATCATGCAATGCTCTTAACAACTACATAATGTACAAGAGAAAATCTGTTCAAACGAGTACTAAGTTCAAAGTAAATGTAATGCAATAGATTCACAGAGAAAATTGTTGTTTTTCTACACAATATAGCCGCTTCTATAAATAATAGCTATATATATACTAAAGAATGTAATTATTGTTGGCCGACCGACCAAATATGTAACTTGCGTTATTTTTAAATCCCAAACGGCTGGCCCCAAGACTAGCAATAGTGGCATCTTGTCTGTAAAAGTATTTCTAAGTGGGAACCCATACTGGAAATTGCAAAAGTGTTACTGGCTCCTTACTAATGCATGATCAGAAGGGATAAAGACATTCCACATAAAATATGGACCTACCTAAAGGATGACAAGCTAAGTTGCTCTGTACCCTGTAAGTTTTAGCACCTATGTGGCATGCCATGTTATGACAATCTGTCAATTATCTTTATCATCTCATCTTCATATATAAAATTCATATTTCAGCTCTGTAGTAGGTAATGCCACTTGGGTTAATTGGATCTGGTTCTTTTCAGTTGAAGTCTGCCCTCTTTTTTTTTAAATTCTTTTTCTCTTAAGGTCAGCTAGTTTTTGTTATTGCATTACTTCATTAATTCCTATCTCTTAGTGTTAATCAATTGACAAAGATTGGATTTTTACACTTTAACTACTAGATTAGCTATTAAAGTATCCCGCATTGGTAAAGAGAATGAATTCTCCTCATTCATAAGCTAGTCTTTTTGGTTGAGTCAGGCTCAAGATTCATTTTGTTAACATGATATCAAAGTCAAATCCATCTATATTGTTGTGTTTTCCACTGTAGGACCCCGATGTTATGCCGTCCATGCTCCAATTATTTAAGTTTAAACGCGGCGGGAGGTGTTAAAGTGATCCACATTAGAAAGGAAAAAAGGGTAACCCGGTACCCAAAGCATTCCGTGTTCATGCAAGTTCCGAGAAAGGGCTTAATGGAACAAGTTATTGTCTTCTTATGTGATTTTGGACCGTGTTCATCTCGCTAACTTTTGAGGTTAGCTAGACCAAGGTTTATTTCCTTAACATTAGCATTGATGGAAAAATAGAGTGTGTTTGGGGGTTTTTAATCAGTAAAAAGCAGCCTGGTGCATTAATCTCCCGTTATGCGTGGAGTTCGAAGAAGGGCCAGTATATTTTATTCTTCTAGTCTTTTTATTGGTTGTTGTATTTTCGCTTTCAAATAAGATTTGTCTTGATTCAAGACCATAGCCAGCTCATTCCACCCAGGCTTAGCCCCAAAGCTTATCCCATAAATTCCCACAAATTTCTTCTATTCCATCCATCTAATCAACACTTCCATTTCCCACATTCTCTATCTCACACTTGTCCAACCATGGCTCAAAGAGCTCTTCCTCTCATTCTTCTATCTTTAATCCCACTTTTGTTTATACTTTTTCCACAAATTCAAGCTCAATCTCCAACAGCTCCAGCTCCAGCACCCACAGGACCAATAGACATATTTGCAATTCTCAAAAAAGCAGGACAATACAACACATTTATTAAATTCCTTAACGAAACACAAGTGGGAATACAAATCAACAACCAAGTCAACAATTCAAACCAAGGTATGACTGTTTTTGCACCATCAGACAATGCATTTACCAATCTCCCTGGTGGTACTCTCAACAAACTTAGTGACCAACAGAAAGTACAACTCATACAATACCATGTAGTACCTAAATTTTACAGCTTTGAAGATTTACAAACAGTTAGCAATCCTGTTAGAACACAAGCAACAGGACAAAAAGGCGAGGCTTTTGGACTTAACTTTACTGGACAGAATAATCAAGTGAATGTCTCATCTGGAGGTGTGGAAACAAATATATATAATGCTATAAGAAAAGATCCTCCTTTGGCTGTTTATCAATTGGATAAGGTTTTAATCCCTTTGGCATTTACTGATAATGCTAAGACTCCATCTTCTGATGATGCACCTGCCCCTACTGATGATTCTGCTAAAAGTGGTTCTACTGCTGATAAAACCAAAGCTAAAGAACCATCTCCTGCTCCAAATGGTGCTAAGAGGATTAATGTTGGACTTTTTGGTTTGATTTCTGGAGTTTTCTTGTTTTGCATGGGAGCACTTTCTTGAGGGAAAACTATTATATGGAGTAGTTTTTATATTTTTTTCTTGCCCTCTTTTTTCCTTATATTCTTCAAGTTTGATTGTTGTTTGTTAATTTTCTTTCATTCTTTTGTGCTGTAATTTCTTCTTCATATAGTAAGGTACAATCTTGCAAATTCATTGTTCTCCATTTCTTTTTTACTTTTAGGTGGTGGAGGGTGGGAATATAATGCTTTGAAATATCTTGATTTTTCTCTATCAAATGTTGACAAACATGTTTTGAGTTAAAAGAAAATCACATGCAGCCTTGACTTTGAGAACTAAAAATGTCATTATTTGGTTTAGTTGGTATATCAGAGGGCCATGAACTTAGAAGTGATTGTTTACGGAGGCACATGCAAGATTCCAAGAACATAGATGCACTATTACAAATATGTGAATTTAAAATTTATAATTGACGAGTTCAACCCTTTATGTTTTTATCATGAATCTATTATCATTTAGAAATGATAGGTTAAAATTAAAACTAATTTCTGCAATTTTGCTGATTTTTAATATATACAGCTATACTCCATATCAAAAATGCTAGAATCATTGAACCATGCTATATCAGCTACTGGTGTTAGTTTTAATTATATAAAATTTTGCAATGACAAAAAGAGATCAAGGATTTCAATAATGTGTTAGATATGCGGATTTTGAATGAATAAATCAAATAGAAAAGAAAGAAAAAGAAAAAGAAATACCTAATTAAAACACAGTAGGGACACTAAAGATGCCTGCAAACTGAGATTTGAACGTCTAATTTCGCTTGTAAGGATGCACTCAATAATCATTACACAATAAGACTCTTCGAACTTGGGTGCGCACATATATATTTTAAATTTTTTTAAGAAGTATAACATATCATACTTAGTATCGAGAGGGAGCAGAGGTTCACGTGCCCATGCTCAACACATAGATACGCCCCTGGTTTAGACTTACAGATCAAACTGGTCTATACACAAATGGAGATTTTAAACCATATTTTTGCTGGTTTTTGTCAACTCTTAGTCTTGGCCTTTGGAAGATCAATGAGTCGGCTTACTAAATTTTTTGTTTTTTTTTGACATATTCCTTTAATAGGCCCAAATAAAATACGCACTTTAACTCAAATAGAAAAGGGCTGAATTGACTGAGGAATGTTCTTTAGCCTCTATTTAAAAGGCTCTCATGTGGAGCTAACACGGCTTACTATCTGTCTAGCTGGAGATGTTATTTTAAAAAAAAAAAGTTCAAATTTCGTTGAAGATATAACTTGTGTTTTACTTTGTATATTACTTAATATTCTTCTACCTAGCAAAAATATTTCTTGCAATAATATGTCTTCAATAATTTTTTTCAAATGATTCAACATAATAATCATGATAAAAGCTTTTCTGGAAACACAAGGGAACAACATATATAACAATAATTGTGGCAAGTTGCCATGTGGTCAAAGATTTTCTTACTAATAAATCATATCCAAATTTTTTTGTTAAAAAAAATACTGAATAGTTATTGATCAGAATGGATATGCAGACATGACACTTCAAATTATTACACTTGGGAATATGTTGATAATCTGAGAGAATATCTCACGCTGTCAAATTAACACGGTGATTTAAAAATTCATTTCTAAAAAATGTTTTCCTAAAATACTTGTCTGTTTCTGTTTTGAAAAAAAAATCTCATTTTTAGTCTGTTTAAAAGTGGTATTTGCTTTTCGTTTATATAACGAAAAAGTTATGGCGAACCTTTTCATTTTTCCCTTTTTGCAACACAATTTATTCTTTATTGTAGAAACATGAAAAATTATTGACAAAAGTTTCAACCTCAAATACATTTTTTTTTAACTTCAACTCAAATAATAACCAAAGACTTTCTAAGCCAATCAATGAACAATGTATCCATGGGGACATGGTATACCCATTTTTTAAATGCTAAACTCTCTTCCCATGAGCTCATTGTTAAGATGAAACCCCATAATAATTTGCAAGAAGAAGAAGCAGGAACGAAGAAGATGAAAGAGATTTCATCTTGCACAGAAATGAAGAAGAAGACGGATTTCAGACATAACAAAAGGACTTCGGAGTCTTCTAGATAAATGTCGTTCTTTTATTTATTTTATTTTGCTCATTTGAGTTTACACGTGTACAGATCACAGCCCTTGAAGCTATTCAATCTGAGCCATTGATATGGCAAATCTAGCTGTATAGAAGAGGGTATGAGAGCACATGTTAGGGAATATTTTAGTTTTTCTGTTATAGCATTAGGCAATAGGAATTGAACAAGTGTACAACATTATTTTATTTTACATTTTCTTTTAGCTAGATTACTTGTATAAAGAGAAACAAGATACTGTGAATACATCATCGGAAAATTTCTACAATTCTATTCTTCAATTCTTTCATGGTATCAGAGCAATACTACCTCGATCCTTCAATCTTCCAAATTTAATCCTCTTCTTCTTTCTAATCTTCATCCATGACTGGAACAGAAGCTGCCCCAACCATCACTGCTACTGGTTCAACCAGTCAAATGAAAAACCTTGACTCCAACCATCCCTGCTTTCTTCATTCTTCAGATTCACCTGGGATGAGTCTTGTCAATGTACCCTTTGATGGGAGAGGTTTCCCATGTTGGAGGATAAATTCATTCTCATTGCTCTTTCAGCCAAGAACAAACTTGGCTTCATCGATGGGATTTGTGAAGAACCTAAGCCTGACTCAGTAGATCATCCTCAGTGGAGCAGAGCTAATGATATGGTGACTTCATGGCTGCTCAATTCGCTGTCAAAAGATATATGAGACAGTGTCATCTATTTCAAAACAGCAAGAAATTTATGGAACAGTCTAGAACATAGATTTGGCCAATCAAATGGGGCCAAACTATACCAATTACAAAAGGAAATTTCAACATCAGTTCAAGGAAATAACAGCATTTCAAGCTATTTCACCACACTCAAGAAGCTATGGGATGAAATGGACTCTCTAAGCTCTCATCTAAATTGCTCCTGTGATTGTGCATGTGGTGGAAAGGCTAAAGTGGCTAAGTTTCTAGAGGATCAAAGGATCCTGCAGTTTCTCATGGGGCTCAATGATGTATATTCTCAGGCTAGAGGAAACATTCTCATGATGAGTCCACTCCCTAGCATGGACTTTGCCTATTCATTGCTCTTACAAGATGAAAACCAGAGAGAGGCCTTTGTGAATATGGTCAGTCCTCAACTCAACTCAGATGCATCTTCATTTATGGTTGCTAGACAAGGAAAGGGTGGACTAAGGTACAACAATCAAGGACAAAGGGGATGGAATCCTTTGTCAAAATCTGGAAACAATCAACAGCAAAAGAGCAAAGCTAAGAAGGCAAAATATAACCCAAATGTGAGCTGCACTCATTGCATGAGAAGAGGACATGTTAGGGCAGATTGCTACAGGCTAATTGGATTCCCAGATGATTTTCAGTTTATCAAAAACAACAATTATCAGCCCACAGCAAAAGGGGATGCAGAAATGGGAGGACAGGAAAATGAAACCAACCCAAATCCTAACAATGAAGGGGTAGTAGGAAGTCAGAATCAATCCTTTAGCAAGGAACATATTTCAGAACTAGTTAACATAATCAGAAAGGTTCAAGTTGGTAATGCAGGAAATACAGGATCTGAAATCAATGCAAATGCAGTTGCTGATACTATTCTTAAGTATTCAGGAACATGTTTGGCAGTGTTTAACACTAAAACTTGGATCATTGATTCAGGGGCATCTGAATATATGTGTTTTGACTCAAGTTCCTTTTTAGAATTGTCTATTCGTCCTATACCTGTTCATATTAGCTTGCCTAATTCTTATATGTCACACACATAGGAAGAGTTTCCATTCAAAATGACATGATTCTTGAAAAGGTCCTTTACGTTCCATCTTTTAAGTATAACTTACTATCAGTTCATAAGTTGTGCATCCAGTTCAAATGTTCTCTTAATTTGACATCTAGTGGGTGTGTCTTGCAGGTCCCTTTAGTGAGGAGGGGGCAAGCTTTTGGTGAAATAAGAGGAGAATTGTACCTGCTGAATCGTATTTCCATTAGTGCAGAACCTACTATTTCTAGTCAAAATGCATTTTCAATTCCAAAAGGAAATTATTCCGGTTCTATTTCTAGTACTGTTTCTAGTCTAAGGCCTATGTCTATGAGTGTAATTTCTGATGTAATCCAATGGCATGCTAGATTGGGCCATTTACCTTTTGAAGTAATGAAATCTTTCAAGTTCATTTCTTTTCCTTCCTCCTTTGATCATGTGTGTGATATTTGTCATCAAGCTAAACAGACTAGACTACCTTTTCCCATAAGCCAAATAAACACAAATGGGATATTTGATCGTATACACATTGATACATGGGGTCCTTTCAAGTCTAACACTTATAATGGTTATAAATATTTTCTAACTGTTGTAGATGATTTTAGTAGAGGGACATGGACTTTTTTGCTAAGTTCAAAAGCAAATGCATTCACAGTTCTAAAATCATTCTTTGCCATGACAGAAAGACAATTCAATGTGAAAGTGAAGAAGGTGAGATCTGATAATGCCTTAGAATTGGGAAGATGAACACAACAATCTGATTTTCTGCTTTCACAAGGGATTTTACATGAAACTTCTTGTGTGGGGACACCCCAACAGAATGGAATAGTTGATAGGAAGCATAGGCATTTACTAGAGGTGGCAAGGGGATAGTTCTTTCAATCTAGAGTTCCCATACAATACTGGGGAGAGTGCATCCTAACTGCAACCTACTTAATTAACAGGTTCCCCTCCTTCCATATAGCATATACGACCTCTGCATATATCATCTTAATGAGGTTTGCCTTTGTTGTCTTTTCTTGTGTACTTTTAACAATATCTTGGAATTGTAATTCCCAGTTACTGCCAGCATAAAGTTGTTGTTGTGCCCACTTAGTGACTCTGTTCCAAAGTGCCTGAGCATATATGCATTCAGCAAATAGATGGTTTCTTGTTTCAGTGTGATTAACACAGAGCAAACACAACTTGTACATAAAGGCCCCGGTTCAGCAATCTATCCACGGTTAGTAGTCTATCCTGACATTGCAGCCACATTGTGAATTAGGCTTTTGGTCTTGCAGGGTTCTGGAACATTAGTTTCCTCCACCTTA